GACACTTCGCCTTTTGCTTCCATACGAGTCGAGACTCCCAGCCCTTGTGCATACGCTTTCTCAGCATCTTTTTCTAACTTTTTGCTTTATAACGTTTTGAGAATACTCCGTAATAAAATATAATTACCAACTTTACAATTTCAAAAAACACCTGTTGCGTTATTTCTTTTCTAACCAAAACGGTCAAGTGAGTTTCGAAAACAAAGGKTGAGTTCGCTACTCAGTAGTAGATGGCATTTCTTTCTCTTTCAATTTGAAGGGAGTCCTTGTCATTCTCTTTAATTGCTTCAATTTCCGCCGCAATTTTGCTATTTGAAGCCCGGAATTTCTCCAAAAGTTCATTTTGAATATTATTTGAAGTATGTTTTCTTCTTTTCCTTACAGGTTCCTCGTCCACAAACGGCAATTCTTCCTGGGAATCCAGCGTAATGGAAGAGCTGTTAAGGGGTGATGCACAGTCTACAACCTCGTGGCCTGTAATAAATTAGTTTATAAAAATAAATATAAACATTTGAAATTTCTGTTTTGGTTTACTAACCTGTGCTCTCCTCCACCAATGTTTCCAAATTGAAGCTTTTATAGCTCCCGAGGTTTGATTTTAGGTAGACTTAGGGTAGACTAAAATCCTTGTTAGGCGCTTTTCTTCCTTTGTTTTCGATGATGATCTGAGGATGATGGCTTTCAGGATACTATCTGGTATATGCACAATTTTTGCAATTTTTTGTCAAGATTGTAACGCGTGCTTTCTTGACAAAATCCAATCAAAATTGAAAATTCTATGTACGAATATAATAAGCATAGTGTAAACAAAAAAAGCACCGTTAGTCTAAGCTTCTTGGAAGAGAAGATGCGCATTAAATGCAGTGAGTCAAATAAGCTGTGACGTTCAAAAAATTAGTATTTTTCTTTTAAGTTGAATAAATATGAAACTATTTGTTATTTTAATATAATTTAAGCGCTTTGTTATCCCTTCCATATCCACTAAAAAAACTGCGTTTTTAGTTTTTGGCTACCTTTCTGTGTTAAAAAGTTATACTCATTTATTTTTAAAAATATAAAGTGGGTCAAATAAGTTGTGAGCCACACTGTATGATATGTGTGTATATGAGTGAAAAGTTATTCCCTCAGCCAGAACAACTGAAAATTGATTTTTTCCTGAAATGCAAAATAACGTAACAATATTTTCGGAAATTTACAGTGGCATGAATGAAAAACGAAATAAAATGGAACATGAGTAAAACAAAATTTTAATATTGGTTAAAACTGGTTTATATCTGATCACAGAACCTAAAAATGTTGAACATATGTAATATTATGTATGTAATTTAAAGTAGTGAAGCGTAATCAATAAGACACTCAATTTCGAATTTTTTGATGATACGTTATTTTGCATTTCAGGTGACGATATGTATATTGCAGAGATTTGAGAACTTTTTCAATTGGAAAAAGTTAATTTTGAATTCAAATTTGTTTAAACTTTGAAATGAATATTGAAAAGATTTGAGAACTTTTTCCATTGGTGTCTAGAAACTTTATAAAGGTGAGGCTTTTTTATCACGCTATCAAGCCGACAGGAGGTTCTTAGAAATGTATTTATTTATTTATTATTTGTAAAATATTATTTATTGATTTATTATTTGTAAATTAATAATACAGTTATTATTATACATTAAACATAAGGAGCACTAGCTACAGAGGCTTTCAGCTCACGGTTTTAATATAAACGACTTAATAATAAAGATGGAACCTTCCATTAAGAATTATATAGAAGCAATATGTTTGTATGAACTAAAAATATATGTTAAAAATAAATTTTAAAAAGGAAGGATAACTTAAATATGTTTCTTTAACTGTGTGCGAGATAGATATTCAGATATTTTAGTGATGTTTACAATAGACGCTTTTTTAATAAACCAAGAGCTTTGTTATTCGGAAATATACTGGTCCTTGCTGAAWTGAAGAAGGGGCATTCATCCAGTAGATGTGTTATAGTTAAGGAGGACGAATACAATATAGGCAGGATGAATTAAGGCGGATCAGCAGGTTTTTTGCCCTCTTGGTTGCAGATGGCGTGGTGGTGTTGCACATTCTTCCATGCATTAGTTTTATAGCTTTTTGTTTTGAAGCGATTAAATGGATTATGTCGTTTTTTTCCATGTAGTCAAAGACAATCAATGGCGGTTTTGCCGCCAATTTGGCGTTTTGATCGGCCCATTCATTTCCAGTAATACCGGCGTGTCCAGGGATCCACATAATTTTTATGTTTGTTTTCCCAATTAGTATGTTTCTAAGTTGCGCAATGAGATAGGATTTGTTAGATGCATTTAGGAGAACTGAGATTGTAGACTTGCTATCAGTACATATTAATGTTTTTAAGTTAGAGTTTTGTACTAGGGATAGCGCATTATAGATGGCTGCTGCTTCTGCGGTGTATACTGAGCTATAAATGGGCAGGAGTCCAGCTTTCAACGTCGGCCTTCGAAGCGTCAGTAAAAATGAGTTGCCAATCTACGTAGTGTTGCGCAATGAGCTCTTTGAACAAACTTTATACCCTCGAATTTGTGTTCTTTTTATGATGTTTTTGAAGATGTAGCTCGAACGAAGATTCTTTGAGTACCCATGATGGGGCAAAAGAAATAGACTTTTCCTCAGGTATAATTGTTATATCTAGATCCTTTGCTAATTTAATGCATTTAAAAACAGAATCGTCGGTCCATTTGGCTTTTACTATACCATATAAGAGTTTGTTAT